AGTATAAGTAGAAGTAGGAGTACGAGTAGGAGCAGGAGTAGGAGTTGTCGTGGTTGTCGTAGTATTAGCAAAAGTAGTAGTAGTAGTAGTAGTAGTAGTAGTAGTAGCAGTAGTAGTGGTAGTAGTACTAGTAGTAGTAGTAGTAGTAGTAGTAGTAGTAGTAGCAGTAGTAGTAGTAGTAGTAGTAGCAGCAGTAGTAGTAGTAGTAGCAGCAGCAGCAGCTACTACTACTACTCCTCCGCCTCCTCCTCCTCCTCCTACTACTACTACTCCTCCTCCTCCTCCTCCTCCTCCGCCTCCTCCTCCTCCTCCTACTACTACTACTACTACTACTACTACTACTACTACTACTGCAACTACTGCTACTACTTGTACTAATACACCGTTCTTGACTCCTGCTACTGCTGCACCTTAACTCCTAGCGCATCCCGGCAGCCTCGGGGCCGGAGCGATACCTCCTGCGCCTGCTGCCTGGCAACGCAGGCCGGGCTTTTTGGCTTCTGCGGGCTCTGGGGCTGAAGCTGCACCTTCGCAAAAGCCCGTGAAACCACTGCTTCAACCAGGCTAATATGGTTCACCCCATCTTCCATCAAGCTTCACATCACGGCAATGCCTCCAAGGCTGCAGTCGCGCCTGTCCGCATCTCTTTCCTGAACGGGTATCAACAAACTCAGTGGCCGGACAGAAAGCGAATTCGAAGCCTGTGCCATGCCTCTTCCGCCGCCCCAGGCGCAGCTTGTAGCGTGCTTCGTGCGAAAAGTGGCAGAACCTGCTACGAACCCTATCGAATGCCCAGCCCTCACCACTCGCCACACTGCGCACACCGTTTGCAGGTGGGAGCTCAAGTAGGTCCAAGGCAGGCATGCGGCTCCATTGCGGCATGGCCGACGGATGGAGCCTTACAGCAGCAGAGAGGGTGGGGCGATGCGGGTTTGGCTCGTCCAACCAAGGCCGGGGCTAAGAAAGGCACAGGGGCGGCACTCGCCCTCCGCATGCCTTCTGGGGCTTGGTTTGTGTCGAGATGCACATGCTGAGAGAATGGAAAAGACGAGAAAGATTGAACTCTGATGGCATGCGTGCTCTGCGACACTGCCACAGCGCAGCCCGGCTGCAGTGTGGAACCGATTGAAGTCATCTTGCCATCCTCGCAATGCAATGTGGTACGTAATACGGGACTTAGCAAAAAAAATGTTGCCCGAGGGTTGCTCTGCTGCTCTGCGACCGACACTCTGACTTCAATTTGTTTCTGCTGTCTAGGAATGTGCAAACCCTGAACTTGACTCTCAGCTGAACCTGCCGTCTGCAGTAGCCCGCAAAATACATGAGCGAAACTGCCAAACAGCTTGCTTCCGTAGACACCCGATCGGCCTCGTCTAGAGGCACGAGACGCAAGGCCTTTCGATCATGATGGGAGCAAGCACAGCTGACACTGTCGATTCGGATGTCTAACTCTCATGCCGATGTGTGATGATGGAGCAGCCTGGTCTACTGGTCTCAACGATGCAGAGCTTGAAACACTTTCAAGTTCTGGTTCGTGCGGTTTACAGCGGAATAAAAAACCAATGGCTGTCGACTCTTCTTGCATTTCTGCACCGTGGGAACGGCCGCTCTCATGATTGATTTTGTTTCGCAGCCCATCATGCTCTCTTCTGCCATCCTGATTGTGAGTTGGAAGGCACCGCCTGGCCCAATCTAGTCCATTAGATCCGGGAAGCATGCTGGGGTGTTCTCGTCTAACCGCGTAACGAGTAAGAGCCCAAACGACGATGCTGCAGACAAGCCTGTCGGTTTCTCGCGGTCCGAGCCTCGTCTGACAGCTCTCGAGGAGGCTCTGGCATTTTCTCCGCGTCGCTGGCACCCTGGACAGCGTCAAGGGCGAAGGCTCATCTTTCACTTTTTCGTATCTCCTTCATGCTTCAAGCACTAGCTTGGGCGAAGCACCGGAATGCAACAGCGACATACAGCGACATCAATGTTTCGAGGAAATCGCAGGTCAGGTGCCTCCGTCTCGGAGGCTGTGGCGGAGCTGGCGGGAACTGCGACAGGAAACCATACGCTCTTATGCATGTGCCGCTGCTTTGGACTCTCCTAGACTTCGGCTCGTCGCTACTGCTATGCGGGCTCTATGCGAGATCCGAAAAACCTGCGCACATACGGAGCAGAAAGGGCCATCAAATACTTCTTCTTGCCAGAGCAGCCTAGGCCCCTTGCTGCGCCTGAACCCTCCCTGTGCTCCAGGGGCTGAACCTTGAACATCAGCGAATGCACCTCGGCTCTGCGGGCTCCCTGAAAGGATGACAGAGGCCGCTTCGATTTACATGAGCAGGGCCCAGCCATTATTTCTTTGAGCTCCAGCCGTACTGCATACCAGCCTACCAGTACGTAGCATGGTTTGTTTAGGATCGGCTAGCGAGGAGGAAAGATAGTTCTCTGTTCCCGAGTTCGGCTCCTTAGCTGCCTGCGCAGACACAGAATTGCAACTGTCGTGAACTTTACAACTTGATGTGACACCCTCCCTAAAAGGCCCTAAATGATCGGTCAGCGCTTCCGACTGTCAAACGTCGAGCATGGAAGGAAGTGCTGACTCAGTGTCTGTTGCCTGATATTGTTTAAAGACACTCCTGGTCGCTTCTACCAGCGGAATTAGTGATCTTGCTTCAATCATCGGACCAGGTTTGCGGTGCCTGCACCGCGAAGCGGTCACAGCAGCTGCCCCACTCCTCCGAGCGGCTCCGTCCTCGCGATACCCGAAGCCAGTCTCCTGAGACCAAAAACGACAAATGCAGTCCTCCAAGCTCCGGAGGTCTCTCCGGCGGAGATGCCAGGAAGGTGTGCCTGATGTACCTCCGAAGTCTCACGGCCGCCGAACAACTCCCAAAGCCCGAAACTCCTGCGGCGAGCACGGTATGAACACGTCGGATGCCACTTCTGGGCTCACTCCGTTCCTGGGTGGGTTTGGCTGAGACATGGCCATCAAGCGTCGCAAGAACCCAAGACTCCCGGGGGGATGTGCACCCCACCCCACACCAGCATCCCCCACCCTGCACTCAGCGCCCCGCCCCGCATCACAACCTCGTTCTGAGGACATCGGCTGGCCGAGGACTTGAAATGCGAAGGTAGCATGCGAGGTGAGGCTGAATTGAATCAGGCAGGTCAGCGTGTCTCTTAGCAGCTACGCCTTGCTGGCACCTTGCAAACGCTCCGGGAAACTCCTGAGGTGCTGAGCAACCGAACACGCTAGGGAGTCAGGCCTGTGGAACACAAGCAGCCGCGCATCACTCATGCAATGTCATTGCTTGTGTTTGTGATTGCTTGGATAGTCGCAACATTAAGCCTTTTTCTCGAAAAGCGTCTTCACTGCCGCCTGAAAACTGTGAAACGTGGAACTGTGGCAAGCTCCTGCCTCCAGTACTAGACGAACGCGTGAAGCAGCGTAAACTTCTACTCGGAAGATCGCATAGCCGGCAGAAAGCAGAAGCGTAGGGTGAGAAAAGTGCTCGTGCTCCTTTTGCACCACGAGCTGAAAATTGCTGGACAGCATCCATCCCGATGCTATGGCCGTCCTTTTTGCTTGGAGCTGCAGCCGTGCAGCAGGAATCCTCCTTTCGGTGTTCGCGCTTGCCAGACACTGTCTTCCGGACGTATGCCGTAACATCAAGGCATGCGCAAGGCAGGCATGAGCTCTCAAGACCCAAGTGGGGCCGAGGGGACTCGTCCTGCCCCTGAAGCACCTTGCTTTTTACACGAGAGCCGACCCCCTCAGCTCGAGGAGCCCGAAGAACCAGAGGCCCCGGTGACGACCATGCGGTCCTCTACGCGGGGAAAGCGAGGTCAGGAGCTCTTTTTGGCGGAGTTCTTGCTGGGGAAACGGCCTCGTCGGATTCGAAGATGCCCGGCTGGTACTCCATGCCCTCTGCAAGCTCTGGGTTTCCGCGGCGTGCCAGTTTTAGCTGCGGACGCCACCTGCTCCATCAGGCGGAAGAGCTTACCGGTGTCAGACCTGCAGGCAAATGATGTTCAAACGACTCCGTCGTCGCTGCCAGCAATACTATTTCGGCTCTCCCTGCCAAGGTCTCTGTGCTTTCTCCCTTCTGTGCTGCTTTGAGCTCGAGGGCTGCATTCAAGCCTGCAGTCATAAACCTCTCATAGAAATGCTAGTTACGGAGGCCTGAGCAAGCTTCTGCTGTCGAATATGATGCCCTCCCCAGGTTTGCATCTTTGCGCAATTAAGCTCACGACTGAAATCGGACACCGTTCTGCAGCTCTTCGATGGTTTCCTTCCAGCTTGAGTCACTCATGAACTGACAAGCGGCACCGGCTTTTGTTGAGCGTCTGAGACGCCGGAAGATCTGCAAGCTACTCTCGGCCCTCAACTTCGCCCGTCTTATGTCTTGTCCAGGTCAGCACCCGAAACTCTGCCGGTTGAGGGTCCAGACTGCCGAGGATGACTAGGGAGGTCTGCATGAAGTCGTCGGTCATACCCAGCTGCAGCTCCACAATGTCCTTCCTTGGCGTTTCTTCAAGTTGAAGCTCAATGAGAGACTCATCGTGAGCTGAAGGGCCCTTAACTGCACAAGGCCACCAGACTTCGCATTGACATAGGCATTCGATCGATTCCCCCAGCATCGGCTTCGAGCGACTTCCGCTGGAGGGCGGGCTGAGGCTTCGACCGAAAGGCGCGCTGCCAGTAGTAAAGACCCGCGGAGGGGCTGATGACCATCTCAGCACTCGCAGTACATCGCAGTACCGCGGCAACGCGGGTCCGAGGCGGGAGCCGGAGTGAACCACCAGTCAGGCCCGACTCCGAAGGGGCCGTCTGGAAAGATCTGCCTAGAGACTCTGAAAGGCCTTCAACGAAAGCTGTCTGACTACCCCAGGCCCTGGCACTAGTAGCAGTGCCACACCAAAGATGGCACCTCTGCTGCCAGATGTGGACCTCTTCTCTCTCTGGAGAAGTCTGAGATCTGAGATCCCAACCACCAAGGCAGAAAGTCAGGAACAAAGCCTGCCCAGGAGTCGCTTCATCGCGCTTCGACTGCAAGGAGAGGCGGGGGAACGGGGCCGGGGCCGGGGCCCGGCCTGGCTGATGCTGCCTTGAAGCTGGCCTCCCGACTCGCATTCCGCAACCCGAAAAGAGGGGGATCATGCGAATTTGTGCACCGCCCGCAGCTGCCCGTCACTCAAACTGGACGGCTGTTACGAGTAGGAGAGCACGGAACCGGCGCGCCTACAAAGCGGATTCGCCCCTGCTGCGGCGACTCCTGTGCGGCAAGCATGAAATACTTCATCTTTGCTCTGTGCGGTCTGACGGCCTCCATCATGTAGTTGAGTCCTGCAAAAGGCAGCGCGGGAGAAAATCGGCAGTGTCGGAGAGTCCGGATTGCAGATTCGGCCCAGTCCTGTGAAGTACGCAACAATTCCACCTGCCTCTCAGAGAGCGTGGTATTCAACACTCACGCTCTTGGCAGTTGGAAGTCTTCCTGGCTTTCTGCAGAAGATCTGCTTGCAGAAAACCAGCGTCCGCTTCAATCTTTGATCCGAGTGGCAATGGAACGCATCTCGAGCCCACCGGCGCCAGTGCCCGGCATCACCTCAGCCGCCGGAAACAAGAACCCGCCAAACTCTGCACAAAAAAGCAGCAAGGGCAGCCACATAGGTCTTCTCGACAAACTTTGCCTGGCCAGACCTAGCAAAAGCAGCTTAACCCAAGAGTGATTCTAGAAAAGTCAGCGAGGCAATCTGCTGATCTAGAGACATGAAGTGGGGATGCATCAAGCAACCCAATTCCCCAATCAACCCTGAAACAGCGACCAAGCACGAAAAGAATTCCTGCGTCTCTGCAAAGAGGGATGAAGTTCCATCACACCCAAAATCGTTGGGGCCTAGTCGCTTCCGAAGCGAAGACCGATGTGTTTATACATTTTTCGGAGCTCGAATCGCATGTGGTCAGAGCGTTCTGCGTGGCAGAGTCGCGCATGCTTTTTGTGAATGCTGTTCGGGCGCGAAGTGCTCTTGGGCTGCTCTCAACTTAGATGCCTCCTGAAATGCCTTGTGAGTAAAACCCCTTCAGTTCTTCTCACCAGAGGGGTACCATGTCAGCCTCTGAATGGTACCAAGAACGCCAGGGACAGCAACAACCTGAGACTCAAGATTACGCACGTGCAGCTCGACTTGCAGCTGCATCCATGCTCAAAACGCTAAGGGCTGAACAAAGAGTGCAAACGCGGTGCCTAGTGACAGCTGTGAAGGCTCCAGCCTGCGCCGAAGAATGGGCACGCATCGTTTAAGACAAGGACAGAATCGTCAAGCAACAGCACAGGACGAAGCAGAGACGAGTCTGCAAGAATGCGGGAACAGGAACAATGACTTCTTTCCTGTTCTGCTGCATGTGATTCAACCGGAGTTCTGGGTAAGAACGAAATGTGTCCAAACACTTCACAAACGGCTGCCGCTGACTCCCGCACCCGGGAATGCCGTTCGGAGGCGGAGCCAGATAACCCGGTGGCAACTCTGCTGCAGCCTTGAAGTCAGCAGACAAAGCACTGGCGCATTCGGATCCTGTCTGAGGAGAGAACTCTTGCGACCTGCGGTCTTCGAGTCTCGGTGCAGGGACCTGAGCTGCTTCCGCGGCACTCGCGCGAGCAATAGCACTAGAAGACATGGCCCCGTCCTGTGAGGGTTCACACCTCATCTTACCGCTGGATACACTTGCCTGCTGCCGTCGGGTTCGGTCAGCTTGCATAGGTGTAGAGACTAGCCTAGCAGCCTAGCTTCCATCGAGACGGAACACCACCAAGCGCTTGAGGCCTCAGCCGAGTCTGCTAGGGACGAAGGCCTGAAGAGGGCAGGGTTCCCAAGCTCGCGCACTCGCGGTTTTTGCCTCTTTTTGGGCCCTGGGCCTGGCTGGCAACGCAGGCTCCAGCCGCGAGCCCCGCCAGCCTCGAGCAGAGCAGGACACCCACCCCCAGGCTCCAGGAAAAGCTCACCCAACACCCCACGGGCCCTGCAGTGCGAAGCAGGGCACGGGAGCGACCTGCATCGGAGAGGTGCCCTTCCGAGGGAGAGAGAAAGAGTGACACAGATTAGGGGGGAATGAGCGGGAGAGAGAGAGAGAGAGAAAGAGATGAGATGGGGCAGGTCACAGAGAAGATCCATGTCGAGAGCTCGATATCTGAGAACTTTCTGAGACCGGCGACGGTAATCCGCTCTTGCGGACACATCAGACAGCAACTCAGCTCATCTGGCATGCTACACCAAGTAGTCGCAGTTGTCACTGCCACAGTTTGGAATCGATGATATCAGCAGCCCGTCCCAGCGAAAGTCGCAGGTGATGCCAGTGCCAACAGGTGTGGACTTGGAACTCGGGACGGGGCTTCAGATTTGATAGCAGGCAGCAGTGGCACCGTCGGTTGACACTGTTTCACGCTTGTCCTGAGCAAACCATCGAGCATGGAGCCTGTGCTCAGGGGCATGGAACATACGTGCAATCTACGAAGAGTCAGAGCTCAGGGCAAGGCGATGATACTTACAAACCGCCCACAATCATGTTTGCTTACTGCACACTTGTGTATTCGCCATTCCGCCATCATTCAAATCCGCTCGATGGCACCTGCAAACCCGCCGAATCGACAGGTCGCTTGTATTTGCGAATGGATGCACGAACCGGTTTCATCTTCTATGCTGACGTGACAGCGATGCTGCCTCACCACTGGAGGTATCTTGGTATAGGACGGGAAGGTCCCTCCTGTGGACTAGGGAGGCTTGTAGCCGACGGAACGTGTCCGTGCATCCCCTGGTTTGGAGACTTTGAACCAGGCAAGGGCAGCTTCTTTGGCTGCGGATACATTAGCTCCAAGATTCTCCGAGATGGAAAAGGTCATCGGAGATACCGCATAAGCGTGGAGGCACCGCCGAGAGGAGTCTTGCTCACTGCAACTCCACCGCGATGTTTGAATCTTCCACATCCCTCCTGACCGGCACACGTAGACTGGCATGAGTTGTTGGAGGATGTACCGCCTATGGTCGACAGCCGAAACCCATACATTCCATGAATACAAAGCACCTGGCTCTGTGTGAAACCTGTCCTGGCAACCGACTTCGGCACCAGCGAGTGAAAATACATCGACGAACCTGCAGGCGTCACGTGGGCAGCTTGTGTTCTAAGCAGACCTCACTCATGCGACAGAGAGCCTGACTATAAGCAACACCTCTGCGATCGAGAGATACGCTTCCCCCACGCTAGCAGAAATCAGAAGCCTGATTATGCCAAGATGCGAATGTAGAGCAGCAACGTGCAGGTGGCTCCGATACAGAGACCCACTGTCCTGATAGGCAAATGTATGGGGACCATTCAGCATTTAAGCACAGGCTTTGCGTGGTGGCCCAGGACAAGCTCAGAATAGGACGGTTTCTCGAGCAAGCAGGTATTGATTGGAAAGTTATGAGCTCTGCGAAATCCTTGCAGGTGGAACCCTTGACCTCTATGACTCTATGACCGGAGTGCCGGAGAGAAAGTCGAACCTCCTGCGAAGGTTCGCAGGGTTAGCAAAGTGAACAAAGAGCCAGAAACAGAGCGCTGCTGACAGGCCACACGACTGAACCCGACCTTCAGAAAAGCTTTCAGAACGCAGTTTGGTACCAAAGCCGGCCGCCCGTAAGCAAGCCGAGTGTCCCCATCTCCACCACAGAAGCCTCGACTCCAACAGCAGGAATACGAAGGAGCTTCTGCACATTCTCAACGACATCCGCCTGGGACAGTCACAGTCACGGCTGTTATCTCGAGGCTAAGATGTGCCACCAGCTGGTGTTTCGCGATGATCGAATCGGCTTCCGGACGTCCAGCACTTCAGGTCTAACTGCTGCACGCTCCGTAGCTTTGCCGCATTTGCCGCAAGCCACGTGCAAAGAGGAAAGGAAGCGGCCCGCCAACTGCTACAAAAAATCGTGTTGAACGACTTCTTTCTGATTACTGATCTTTGTGCAACACAAGAGATCCTGAGCCACGCTGCAAAGTTTGAACTGGCAAAGGATGTGGTGAAGCCATCCACATTCTCTAGGAATGCCAGAAGGTATACCTGCAGCCATCTTGTAAGACCCCTTTGCTTGGAGCGGCTTTACCAGTTTGCGGAAACGAACACTTTACCGCACACGCTCTTTGATCGAGGCACCAGCGCGAAGACGTCGAGAGCATTGAGACCTAAAGCATTCGCACTCGGTCAAGATCTGTGACGGCTGGCAGCCTTCTGGCTTATCTGCCAAAGGTGCGTACAGGCTCCAGAAGCCAACTATGCGAACCACTTCGTAAAACTGAAGAAGGCAAACGAAGACTTCGTACTGAGAGGCTCATACAGATCTCCTCCACAGGTCGCCAACCTTAGCTCTGCGAGGATCTTCCTACAGGCATCACCGAGAAGGCTTTGCCAAAAGCGCGCCTTCAATTTTATCCACACCAAGCAACGCTCCGAAATGAGTTCTGTTGCCCGCAGCGCGACGAACACTGCCTCCACCAGAGACACATAGCCCACTGGTCCCACTATGAAAAGATCATCCCGCCGCTGTCGAATCCCAGAGTTGTTACACGGCCAAGCTTGCACAGATTCTCATACATGTAGCGTTGCCCTGAACTCAGCACTAGGCTGCTTTGCTTGCATTTTCTTCGTCTGTGTTTGCTGCTTGAAATAATTTCAGCTGATGGACCCCAAAGCATCCCCCTACAACTGCTTGCCTGGCCAACTGGCGCAAAGACAGTCTGGACAAGTATTGCGCTTTTCCTTAGGGCAAAAGCTCCATCCGCATGGTTGCATGGTTCCTGACCTTGAGGATTTCACAATCTGCGATTGTCCACAAAAAATCGGTCAAGAAGCAACCCTGGACTGTAGGCTCCCACATCCATTCCGGAGTAGGTCCCCGGTGACAGGACCTGTAGCGATTCAGAGCGCTATGGACGTGTCGGCCATGGGCAGGGCAAGACAAGCCGCCATTCCGGCCAAGCCCACGAGAGCCACGGAGATAAAGGAGAAGAAGAACCAGATAAAGACACCCGTCAGGATTCCCGAGCACAGCACCTGGGCACGAGCTGTTGCAATTGAAGAGTCCCTTCAAGCTTTCGGGCCCTTCGTGCGCTGATCCTGTTTCGGGGTTCTTGAGTCTCGCGTTTCTCTAACAGATTCTAACAGCATAACATAAGATCTAGCAGGGCGCTAGATCGGGCAGAGCCCATTGCTTGTCTTCGTCCTTCGTCGATCTCTGTGGAAGTGACACGGCCATTGTCACACCAGCCTTGGCTTCTGAACCGAACCAGCGCTTCCAGTGTCAACGCTTGCAGCCGAAGCAGCCGCAAGGCACAAAAGGCAGGCCGTGATCGCAACGAAGGGCCCGACAAGTGGCACCATCCTCCAGGGATCTGCGGAGGCAGAGGTCTCGTCCGAAGCATTCACAAAGTTCTGAAGCGCTGCAGAAGCGCTGCAGATGGCTGCGGGCCGTGGAAGCTTCTGTCTAAGCACCCGCCGGTCTGCACGACCTACGGCAACTCAAGGATTCAGGTCGCTGTCCTCATCTCACCTCTTGCATCCATCGGCAAAGCCAAGTTCGCATTCCTGGCACACAGGACTCTCTGAAGCCGTTCTGCTGTGCCCTGCAATCAACGTCACCATCTCTGCAAAACTCTCCAAGTTATGCAGCAGAGGCACATGGATAAGCCAGCGTTCGCCAAGGTCTGAGACTCCTGCGCAGCGTGACTGTTTGGGAGGCCGAGCAGACAATCCCATCGCTCGGGGCGGTCCTGGAAAGGTAGCCTGCCAATCCAAATCGCTACACCTTTTCGGGTGCAGCACTCGCGCTCGCAAAGATCGCATCCATGGACAAGAAGTCACACTGTGGACCGCAATCTGAGCTCTCATTTGGACGGGGATCGGATCAGCACGTGTTGGATGCCGAAGCTCAACCCCAGTAACCACGGCAAGGCGAGAATCGCGCAAGCGACCTGAGGCAGATGGGCAATCCACCAAACTCCCGGATGCCTCTTCGTCCGCCTCTTTACGGTTTTTGGCCTTACTGCCGACTGCCTGCCTAAACCTTCCGTACTCCCGGATGCCTCTCCGTCCGCCTCTTTACGTGTTTTGGCCTTACTAGGACAGCAAGGCACCAAAGCAAAAATGAAAGGCCGTGCTGAAAACGAGGCCTCAAAGAAAAACTGGACTAGGCCAAAGGCAAAACAGCCTAGAAGCGTGGCCTCGGGCCTAGGAGCAAAGTACGGGGCGACTGAGGTCGCCACCACACCACTTACGAGGGAAGTCACCACGAAGTTGATGAAGACAAAGCCGCCTCCTGAAAGGCTTCACTATGCTGTAGCAATGGCTAGCACTTGCAGCGATGATCCGAGTCTTGCAAGACTTATTGACTTATTGATGATGGCATTGCTTCACAGGAACTTGCACGAAATCGACGGAAGATTCGGGGACTGAGCTGTCTGTCTGACAGTCCTCCGGCTTTGAACTGCAGGGCCAGTCCTTGGCACCATCTCGTGCTTCTGCGCAGAAAACCGGGCCGCTGCTGCAATGCTATGTTTTCTACATGGAGTGCAGTGGTTATACTTGGAACATGGTGAAACTATTCAGTTTCAGTGGACATTTGCCGTGCTCAAAGCCACGACGAGAACTAGTTGGGAAAGGTCGGCGCTTGAGCTGTAGCTGAGGCGGGGAGCCCCAGTAGGTGAAGGTGGCAATCGTCTGTTTGTCCAGCTCCAGGCTATTGGGCCTCGCGGCAACCAACGCTCAAAAGCAGGCAGAGCTGCTCTTGTAAACTAGGCGTAGCCATCAGCAACATACTCGCACGCCAGATCTTCACCAGGTGAGTGGCGTGTACACCATCCGCATCATCAGCGACGTGTAGGGCAGGCTGCATGCTAACATCCGCAGGATCACGGAGAAGCCAAGCATCATGCAGACGGCCTCTGCACCAAGGCCAGTCGCAAGCACGATGGCTTTTCAGAGGAGCATACCGAGGCCATGACAACGACGAGCCAGTGCCTCTCGC